GGGGGTACTTTCTCCAAGCCTCTTTTAAGGGGGAGTTGCTAAATTGCACCGTTAAAAATTCATCTGTAAGCTGAGTGTACATTCCAAATGCTCACCGTCCAGATTTATCTTTGAAATGGGGCAGTGGATGGGAAAAGTGAGGTTTGGGACTAATATTTTGACATAATGAATATGCAGCAGTTGAAGGGGGCTTTCCATCATCCCTTATCGTTCAAAAACAGGCTAAAAAAAAAAAATGCTTTTTTTGGGCTTTTTTAAAAAAAGAAACGTGTTTGTTCACTGAGTGTTTTCCAACCAGGCTGCCTGGAGCTGAGGATCACAGACATTCCTAATAATGCCATGGTTTTGTGCCACCAGGAGCTGAAATCTCTTTAAAATTCAACTGTTAAAAATACTCTATTGAGTTGTACCTACGCTGACTTTTCAAAGCTCTTGAATGGGTTGATTTAAGGATAGAATAACAGTCAAATGAAAAAAAAATGGCTTTTTTTTTTTTTTTTAACGCCCAGGAAAGTAATTTCCCATTGAAACTTGCCATTGTAGCGAGAAATAAAAGGCACTGTTGGGTTCCCAGTTAAATTATGGCAAAATAAAGTGAAGAGTGGGTTTACAGCAAGGAAAGAACTCGTCTAACAAGTGTCAAATAACGTGGGTTTGTGCCACATTGTCAGGCTGCAAAACAGAGCTATGAGAAAGTCAGAAAACAGTTATTAAAACACCTGATTTTTGCCAAGGTGGCCTCAGTTTCTATGGCAACAGCAGTTCAGGGGCTGGGAATTCAAATTCCTGCTTCGCTGTTCCAGCTGCTGCCGGTGGAGGAGGAAAGGGGATTTTGAGCCCCAAAGCAGCAGAAATGGGCAATTTTTAAGCCATCAGAAGTGCATTTTTCAGTCATTTTTTTTTTCCTTTTCAGTGGAGATTTAGGCAGGATTTGAACCATCCCACCTGGCAGGGCAGCAGGGGGGTGACCAGGCTCCTCCTCAGCTCAAATCCAAGGAAAAATGATGCTCCAAACTCACTCTGGAGTACAGGGCAATCTCAATATAAGGAGGATTGAATGAGATTTCCCTCAAATGCTTTTCACACTTACACTTAATATACAGTTTAAAATCTCATTATACTCCTTGTAATTATTGTATTTATTGTCACCTTCTTTTGGGAGGGTGATATATTTACAATTTTCAACAAATAAATACATTAAAATAAATCAATACCTATATTTGAATGCACAGAAAATGTACTTTCTGCTGATAGAAACACGATTTTTTTTCTGCAGAAAGGTGGCATTTACAGACATTCCTTTCAAGGAATATTTCACCTCTTTCCTTCCTCCAGATCAGGAACGTTGAAACCAACCAGTGTTTGGACAACATGGGCCGCAAGGAAAACGAGAAAGTGGGATTTTTCAACTGCCATGGAATGGGAGGAAATCAGGTAAAGCAGGGAAAAAAAGAGGAAAGGTGTGGTTTTTGTGAAATAATTGGTTCAGAGTGCTGTGAGAGCTGAAATGTCACCCAGGTAGGGCTGGGGGCTTGTCCTGGGGAACCTCACTGGTCCTTGGTTCATGATAAAAAATATTAGCGAAAAATAGCTGTATAATTTTTATATTAAAACATACTATTTTATAGAAAACATCATGTTTTATATAAAATACTATATTTTATGGACACATTTTTAAATTTAAAATAACTATTTGAATTCTATTTTATATGCAAATAATATAAAAGAATCAATGAACATTCCAAAATATTTTGCATTTGAGTCAGAAGAATTTTAGGACGACTCAACCATTTCTTTGAGCCTTTTATTTTGTCTTATTCTATTTTATTTTGTTATATTGGCCATTTCATGTAATTCCAACTCTTGAGTTCTCTCTCTGATGTCTGGAGTGTTTCTGTGGGTTGCAGTGGATCTCTCCCAGTTTCCCTCCTTGGTGCTGAGCACCAGGCCAAGGGAATTCCTGGCACTGGTGGTTGGAGGTTGAGGCAACAGCAGAACAGGTTTTATAGGAATTTTCCAAATTGTGAAGGTCGTGCAGCCCTGGCAGGGGCTGGAACCCCCATCCCTGGAGGAATGTTTTGCCTGTCACAATGGGATGTGTGAAATGCATTCTTTAATTAGCTATAAAATGCATTCTGTCCTCACCTTCTATTTTTAGGTGACATTAATATCATCGTCTCTGTAATTAGTATCGGTGGGAGTTTTACATCAGCTTAATCAGCATTCACTTTTCTTCTTAACGTGGTGACTTTCCCAAACCCAGCTTCCTTCATGGTCAGTTATCCGTGGAACCAGAGAATCCCAGAATGGTCGGGTCGGAAGGGCCCTTAAAGCTCATCCCATCCCAACCCTGACACCTCCCACTATCCCGGGTTGCTCCAAGCCCCATCCAGCCTGGCCTTGGACACTGCAGGGTTCCAGGAGCAGCCCCCCAGGAGCAGCCTGGAGTTCTGTGACCCTCCACCCGTGTGTTCCAGGTGTTTTCCTACACTGCCGACAAGGAGATCCGCACGGACGACCTGTGCCTGGACGTGTCGCGGCTCAACGGGCCCGTCCTCATGCTCAAGTGCCACCACATGAGGGGCAACCAGCTCTGGGAGTACGACGCCGAGGTACCGGGGGGTCGGGGACAGCCCCTGAGGGATGGGGGTGTCCTTGGCAGAATCCCGGGATTGTTTAGGCTGGAAAAGCCCTCCAAGGTCGCAGAGTCCCCCCTGTGCCCGATGCCCCCGGGTCACTGAGTGCCACGGCCAGGCCTTCCTGGGGCACAACTTGCTCAATCCATTTATGACAGAAGCTGTGACTGCCCCGTCCCTGGAAGTGTCCAAGGCCAGGCTGGGGGGACCCTCCTCTTCCTCACCCACCTTTGGACCTGACAGGAGGGGGGAGCCGGGGGGGGTCGGGCTCTGCTCCCAGGGAACAAGGGACAGGAGGAGAGGGAACGGCCTCAGGCTGTGCCAGGGGAGGCTCAGGTTGGACAGCAGGAGGAATTTCTCCCTTAGGGGGGTCAGGTAGTCCCCTGCCCAGGGAGGTTTGGAGTCCAAGGGAAGATTATTAGCAGATGATCTTCTTCCATATAGGAAGGAATTACAGAACTATTTAGGTTGGAAAAGACCTCCAAGCTCATCCAGTCCCCCCTGTGCCCAATGCCCCCCTTGTC